GGTGCAAGGATGGGGTGAGGAGGACTACAGCCCATTTGCACGCAACACATTGTACATGCAAAACTGCTGGATGTGCCCTAGAGAACGTTACAGCCCCACTGCAGCCTCTAAAGCCATCAAGGATGATGAAAAGGGGAGTTTTTAATAAGCAGCATGTTTGGCAGGCCTTTTCTTCTCAAGCAACTGGCCAATTAAAACTTTATGACACCCCTCCCCCTCCCCCTTGGCTCTGGTGTGCACAGTCTGTTTATGCCAGTTATTTTGTTTGAATCTCTCCCCCCCACCCCGGTCCTTTTTTAGTCTCCCTCTGTTCCCCCCTCCTTTGAAGTACATTAGTTTCTATGGCAACAGTGTTGTCATGGGTACCTTCTAGGTGGGTTTAGAGACAGCCACAAGTGCAGAAGAAAATCAGTTTATTATATAATGGAGCTGAAACAGATGCCACAGCTTGGTGATGTATCAGAGAGGTACAGGGGCTCAGTGCGATGAGGCGCTTGTGAGAGAAGTAGATATATATGTCCCTATGTGCCTTTCTCTCCAACACACGATGTGGTTTGAAGCTGAGATTATTCAAAGGGATTGGAGTTAGGCATTTATCACCAGCAGAAACTCTGTGGTTTCTGCTCCCCCTATTTATTCACAGTCTGTGGTTCTCAAGTGTGTGAAGTAAGGAGGTGCAACCTGTTGTTAGGAAAAGAGATAACTCTTCCCTGATCCCTTGTTAGATGTTCTGTTGCTTGACCAAGAAGCAGAAACCTAATTTTTGGATTTATTCCAGGTTTTGGGAGGCTTGGTCAAGTTATCCCCAATCCCTCCCCCCAAAAAAGATGCCACTACTTCACACTGAACCATTGGGGTCAGTGTGGTTCAGAGCAACAGACAGAGATTAAAGAGGCATGTCAAGAGTCACTCTTTAGTTCTCCTCCAGGCACCATTCCCGGCAGCAGATTGGGAGACCATCCAAGAGGTCCCAGCAACAAAATGGAGACCTTTGGAGCAGTCTCTCATTCTTGTTGGAAGAGCCAAACGTCTCTAGTTGATGGTGGTCATTGGTAGATGTCTTACCATGCTGATACCTGGCACTACCATTGCTCAGTTCTCCACTGTATTCTTTATCTTCTGCATTAATTGGTAGCTCAGGGGAATCTGTGGGGCAATGCATTATATTTTGCTGAACCCAGGCCCTTCCTTGAGAAAATATTAAAAACATGCATAGAGTCTTTATAGCTAAGACTCCATTTTTTATTCTTGTGAATTATGAATTGCAAGTCCTAGTAGAACAGCTGCTTTCCCTTTGTCTAATAGAGTAGTCTCTTCCCGTATTCCCAGTTAAATGTTTTTGTACTAACTGAAGTACAGGAAGCACGAGGCAGTGTTTGGCCTCCTGTAAATAAAGTCCTTCCTCCAGGAGAGCTGTTCTGGTCTTGATCAAGGCCAGTGAGGCACAGCGAGATGAGGGACTCTGGCAGCAGATATCAGGGGGCAACATCCACTGCTCTACTTCACTCCCTGTCCTGCTGGCCCTA